CCCTCCCCTCCCCGAAGCAGACCAGGGTTTTTTTGCTGACGCCTGGGGTAGAGCAGCGGGGTGCTGCCGGGTTGGTTCAGTAGCGCCGAGGAGCGGCGCTGTGGGACCAACCCAGCAGCACCCCAGCTGCTCTGCCCCAGGCGTGTCCGATTCAGCCGCTGCTGGTCAATTTCAACAGTGGCTGAATCTGGACGCCAGTTCCGACTTACATACAAATTCAACTTAAGAACAAACCTACAGTCCCTATCTTGTACATAACCCGGGGACTGCCTATATGTATAATTAGCATTAAATATCATAAGTAAAGAGTTATCATTGGATTTTTTTTAAAAACACATTTCTCAAGCAAGTAGCTGGGGAGGGGGAGCAATTAAGAGACCAGGATTTATAGATTTAAAAGTAGCACAGTTGGTGGAATTTAAATTTCGTAACATGTTACATTTTTGTGTAAACAAGAGAACAGAATATTTACTTATGGCTAGCTTGGTCAGTTTGCTCTGATCGCTTGAGATTTGAACCCCTAAGCAGCATTTACCTAGTTTTGCTAACTGCGCTTATATATCTAGAATTTATGGAGAGTGCCCTGGAACTGTAGCAGTGCTTTGATTGGATGCGGAGTAGATATGTAATAGTGTAGTCGATTAACGCTAGATTACAAGCTATAGACTACACTCATTCCTCCCCCTCTCCCCGCACCAGTAAATTTTTTATCAGGCTGGCCAGCAGCCTAGCTCAGTCCCAGCTTGCGATGGGTCCAGGACCTACCCCTGCTACGGCTCTGTATTTAAAGTGTATTAGGAGCTGGGCAGGCAGGCAACCCAGTTCAGTTCTGACTCACACAAGTTCTGGGTGTGCACATACACATGACTCCTCAGGAGTGGGGCCGGAGCAAACTGGCTGCCAGCCCAACCCCCAGGAACTATAGAATAGTTAGGTAACCAATAAGAATTCATGAAGTTAATCAACTATTCAGTTAACTGATATTTCACATCCCTAATGTAGAGGGAGCTTTACAGCTCTGTATGTTGTGTGCAATTATCATGCACCTCACTTGCTTTACATGCATGTCGCTTATACATGGAGTAATACTGGTAGGGGGGAAAAAACATTTATGGATGGAAGCCAGCAGAATCTGGCAACCCTGCGCATGGGCAACGATAAACAAAATGTCTCGTGGGCTACAAATAGAACCTTGGAGGGCCTCATGCAGCTGGCCGACTTCAGGTTGCCCACAATTGATCTAGGTACTGCAGTTTTCCCAAGACTTCAAATGGATTTTACTGTTGGGATAAAATTAGATATTAACTGCCTAAAGGGTATGACATGATTAACAGGATAAAAGATAAGGCAAACAAAGATGAATTTGTATCCTACAACCATTTGAGCAACTAATTTGATAGTAATACATGCTTTTTGTATACCGTAAAAGTTATTTAGAACTCTAAAACTAAGAGCATTATAAATGCAAGCTTTTTTGGTTTATTTTAGAAACCTTCCATAAGTTTTGAAAACTTAATAGCAAAAATCTTATCACTTTCCATTATTATAAAGGAGATTTTGCAACTAAAGTGGGGATTTCTAGGGGCTGTTTTTACAAGACAATGAATTTTGTCCTGCTTTTTAGAGAATAATAAAATCTCACTTCATTTGTTTAAAATTCTTTAAAAATCACCTTTTTATTTAGTGTTCCTGCTTTAATTACTTTAATACAGTTTTTGACTGCATGAAATTTGAGAGTAGGATTGTTTGTTCGGCACCAGAAAACAAGTGTTGTGTATCATTTATAGCAGCACTACATAAGCTTAAATGGGAACATAAAGAGAAACTGTGACTTCTGGCTTTGGTAATACAGCAAACTGATTTTGAAAATTTAACACTAGAACACTAGCATCTCCTACAGTGGTTTAAAAAAAGTCTGTCAAAGTTAAATAGAATTTCAGATCTAATTAGAAATGGCATTTAATTTTACTGTGCTGAATTTATTGAAAGTTGCCTCAAGTGATGCTGATGATATGGAACGTCAACAATGTCAGCCTTCTTTATACTGTTTGATCAAAGCACCTAGAGATACAAAGATTTTGTAATTTTTGTATATATTCAGTTTTCCTTCATAAGTGTGATATTCCAGTCCTACTACTGTTAACTTCCTCATTTGTCCAGAATATGGACTGCAGCCTCTGGATATGTTGGGAGGATGGAAATACAAGAAGTCAAATTAGTTTGAGCTACTGCCATACAGAAAACTTTTCCAACAATGTTAAGAACATTTTGTACAGAAGTTAGGCAGCCAGCAGTATTTTGTAGAGGCAGCCAGCAGTGTTTTGTAAAACTCCCCTACAGAACTGTCTTCCACATGCATGCCAAAATAGCTATTTCAGTGCTGTTGCACAATGTCTTGTGAGTTAGGTACATAGACTCCCATCTGTTCATTTTCTTAAACCAACCCACTAATGGTGATTACTGTGTTTTGCTTCTAAATGGCCCTGTGCTTTGTAGGCCTTCTCTAGTAGGACTCCATGTAATTGCTCCAGAATTGTGTAACAGAGCTACAAAGTGAAACTTCTCTAAACTTCACTGGGCAAGGAGTGGAGAATCAGGATGCTATTTTTGGGGACAAATAATATAGTAGTAAGAAGAAGAGGCAACAAAATAGGAAGAAAATGGTTACGTGGCCTGTAAAGAAACAGGAACAATTAAGTACGTGAATTGTAGAAAGATGTTATGTGAAATGTTCTTACAGTAACAGCATTGGTTGACTTTAGTTAATAAGCCACAAGTCCATAGTTGTTCCATGTGTTTTGTTAGAATAAGATTTCTTTTAATCAGGATTAGGGATGTAAAATCTGGGTTAAAGCGTTAAATTAATTGGTTAACTAGTAAAATGTTGGGTTAAGGTGGGATCTGGGCTGAGGACTGCTCCAGCCTGGCTGGAGCTGCCCTCAGCCCCATGCTGGGGCTTGCTGCTGGCTCATAGCCCTTACTGAAGCAGCCCCTACCAGCAGTGTGCTCAGGCCCGCAGCGGGGAGGGGCTGCTCTGAACACTGGAGCAGCCCCTGTCCATGGTGGACTTCCTGAAAGTTTGGTGCAGCCCCCTACTTATGGCCAGCAGGGAGTTGCTCCATCCCACACCAGTTACTAGTTAACATTTCACATCCCCAATCAGAATTGTGCTATTCTGTTGTTGTCCATTATTCCATTAAATCTTGAGAAGTAAAACAAATGTAATTTGTTCTCTTTTACTGCTTTAGTCTGGGTTAATTTTTTTTTAACATTTCTAAAACATTGCTGTAGAATCTGAGTAGTGGTATATCACCACAGGAAACCTGAATTTAAAGTTCCTCTTTCCTATCCTCAAATGATTTAGCGACTTTAGCTTCCTTAAATGGACAGAGTTCGGCAGTTTGGGTTTCAGCTGAAAGTCTGACTTCTATTAATATTCTCCATCAAGAGGCTTGGATCCTTGCTTCTCTCTACTCTGTACAAAAACCCATTAACAACTTAAGGTCAAGGAGAAATCTCAAACAGCTGAAAAGAGAACATTTTTCTCCACCTCCCCCCCCCA